CTCCGGCGTTCCGCGGGGGTGCGAGAGAGACAGGGCGTGCCTGCGGCCTGCGGGCTCCAGCGAGGCTGCGGCTGTTAGGCGCGGTCGGGGCAGACCGCGAGCACCGCAGGGAAAGCCTCGCAGCCCGGCGTTCGACATCGACACCGGCACTGGAAATTGGCGTGGCTATGTACGCCAGGCTACGCCAGGCTGGCTCACACCAGTGTAGTGCCCCTCGCACAGTGGGCCAGAAGACCGGTGGAGGCGGTCAAAATCCCAAACGCGTTTTGAGCTCGAGTCGCTAAATGGGCCTCGAACCGAACGTGCGACCCCACCAATGGATTGCCCCACCAATGGAATCCATTGGTGGGGTCACACGTAAGCTTCGAGTCACATTTAGCGACTCTGGAGCTCAAAACGCGTCTAGAGTTTTGGCCACCTGCACCGGTCTTCTGGCCCACTGTGCCTCGCCGTGCTGCGTGGCGATGCTCGGGGATAGTGCGGCTGTAAGGCAAAGCAAATTGACCTCGCCGCTCGCCGACCAGTAAGTCGAGCGGAGATTTTTGTGTCGAGGAAGAGAGAGAGAGAAAGACAGAGAGAGAGCAACAAGCCCCGCCAGTGGCGCCACCCGGCGAAGACTGGCGAAGAAGCGCGGAGTCCGGCCGGACTCGTCAGAGGCACAACGAGACGCCGGTCGGTCCATGGCAGTGAAACTGGATTAGAAGCGAGATAGAAAAAGATGAGGGAAGGCGGAAAGAGAAAGAGAGAGAGAAAGAGGGAGAGAGACGGGCGATGTTGGTCACGACCGCGACGACGCGCCGCCGTCCCTTCCGTCCCACCGTCACGCCCGAGTCCCTCAGGCTCCCTCATCTCGGGGAATGACGAAAAGACGAAAAGACGAAAAGACGAAAAGCGGACCTCTCTGTCAGTCAGTCCGTCTGTCTGTCTGTCCGTCGGTTTGGTTTCTTGTTTTCCCGAATACCAGGCGCCGTGCCGACCGGAGCCCCCCCAGCGCCAGTGGCCGATGCCCCGGAGCGTCCTGGCGGCGCCGAGCGGCGCTGGCGTCTGGCGAGTCGCGTGCTTGTTTGCTGGGGACTTTGCCTACTTTGACACCGGCACACCGAGTCCTGTTGGCCGATCGAGACTCGCCTCGCCGCCTCGCCGCGCGGAACGGCCAACCAACGGGTTGGACAAGTTGCAGCAGCTGTGGCGGCAGCACCGGCAGCACACCAGTAAACGGAGCAGACGGAGCGATGGCTCGCGGCACGTCCCTCTGCCCTGCCGTGCACTGCCCTGCCCTGCCCTGCCTGCCCTAGGCTGCCGTCCGGGACTCGTGTACCGCGGTGCATGCAGTGCAACAGTGCACTGCTCCGTGCCGCAGTCGCACAGTGGGCCAGAAGACCGGCGCAGGCGGCCAAAACTCTAGACGCGTTTTGAGCTCGCAGAGTCGCTAAACAGGACTCGAACCGAGCGTGTGACCCCCACCAATGGATTCCTCGTTCGGAGAGCAGTCCATTGGTGGGGTCACACGTTCGGTTCGAGCCCCATTCAGCGACTCTGGAGCTCCAAACGCGTCTAGAGTTTCGGCCGCCTGCGCCGGTCTTCTGCCCCACTGTGACGCAGGTGCAGCGCTCGCAGTCCGCGGAAGCCAATGCAAGACGCGGCTGCAAGGTCACAGCCCTTGGAAGCGGCACTCGCAGCAGCACGCGACGACGCGGCCCAGCTGGACTGCCTGAATGAACCCTGCAGCTAATCTCTTATCTTTATGTAGTTTCTACGAACGCTGGGGACTGGGATCTGCGTTTATTCAAATTTCTCTTTTTCCGCTTTTGCGATTCGCTGAGTGCGCGTCGGGCCAGAGTCCTGGAGTGAGCGGTCTTGACGGCGATGTCAGCAATGTCCTGGCGGGGCGCTGCCAGTCCTCCAGGACGCGGTGACGCGGTGACGCGGTGACGCGGTAGCCGAGGTCCGGCGTCTCGTCTCCGGGACGCTGCGGATGCAACGGCCCGTCGCTGCAGCCGGTGGCGCCGGCGCCGGCCGCCGCGCTGGCCGCGCTGCCGTGCTCCGAACTCAAATTCCTGTGGCGGTAGTTTTATTTCGCCATCGCCGCTGGCGCTGCGCTCCGCGGCCGAGGCTGTTGCAGCGGACTGGTGCACTGTCGGGCTTGCTCCAGCGGGGCTCCAGCAAGCCTCCAGGAAGCCCTGACTTGCTCTTGCTCTGCTTGCTCGCGACCTTCTGCAACTTGCCGCGCCAAAACTTGCGAGAAATTCGTCGGCGACCCTCCTCGCCTCGGACTCTCCGCGCCGTGACTTCCGTCGCGCGGTCTCGTCGGCCGCCCTGCCCCTGCTCCCTGGCCGCTGTGGGGCACGACGGCGGAGGTCGTGAACTCGTGAGCGACTCGGTGCAAACGACTGCAGGGTCCAGGGACCGCCGCCCGGGGCACGAGGGCGACGTCGAGTGTACAGTTAGAGGACGACGTCCTGGGTCGGCGGCCGCCCTGGCCGAAGGCGAGATCGACGACGCCGTCCTGGCTGGCCGGCCGAGGTCGCTGGTCGCGGACGAGTCACGGAAGGGGCGCACAGTGGGCCAGAAGACCGGTGGAGGCGGGCAAAATCCCGGACGCCTTTTGAGCGGCAGAGTCGGTAAATGGGACTCGAACCGAACGTGTGACCCCACCATTGGAATTCTCGTTCAGAGAGCAATCCATTGGTGGGGCCACACGTTCAGTTCGAGGCCCATTTAGCGATTCTGGAGCTCAAAACGCGTCCAGAGTTTTGACCGCCTCCTCTGGTCTTCTGGCCCACTGTGGGGCGGGCATGACGAGCAACGCGATGCGGCGCCGTGACATAAGGCAGTACAAAGCGCTCGGTGCTCAGAGTCCTCGGTTCCCACAGGGCCACGTGCCTCCCGGCCTCTTGGCCTCTCGGCCGCGTGCGTGCTCGCCGTGCTCGCCGAGCTCAGTGCCGCCAACTACCGCCAACAAGGAACAAGGCTTTGCTCCAATGAGGCCGCGGGGCGTCGATAAGTTTCTCATAGCGGCCGGCGGTGTCGTCCATCAGTCGAGCGATTCCGCCGCCTGCCCTCCTCGCTCTGTCTCTCTCGCACCCCTACGGAACGCCCCGTGAGTGCGAGAGAGACAGAGCGAGGAGTCCCGCCCAGGGCGTGGCCGCGCCCCGAGTGCAACGTCGACCCATTTGGGGGCTGTCTATTAATTAGGGCGGTTATCATTTTTCGTGACGTTCCCCTCCAAGTCAACCTGGAGTCCCTTTGTTCCCTGGTGTTTCCATGCTCGTGTTCAACGATTGCTGCCCGACGGAGACACGACCTCGAAGGAAGCTAGCGATCCACGACGCCGCCTTTGCCATGCCGTCCGCTTGCTGCCGCTTGCTTGACCCCGGCCGGCACGGCAGCACGGCATCGCAACTTCGCGCCGGATCACTGGGCTCGCCGATGGGATGGACTTGGACTTCCACGTCAAAAGTCGGCCGAAACCGGTCCGAAACTTCGGCCGACACGAATGCCGCCGTTGCCGTTGGCCTTCCCTCTCCCGCCTCATTTCCCGCCCAATTGTGTTGTTCTTTCCGCCGTGCGTGCCGCGTAGTGCCGCGTGCTGCGTGCGCACTGTCCACTTGGCGCTCTTGGTGCTTCCCTTCCCGCCAAGGGAATGGCGCAGTGTCCGCAGTGTATGCACTGACTTGGCGGCGCGCTGCGCGTTCGGCGCGTTCTTGGAAGAGCAGCCACCTGCTATGGCTTTCCTCGGCTCGGGGACAATCGCCTTGCATGGCGCGGCGTCGCCATGGCGGCGCTACGTCAGCCTAGAGGCCTGGCGCCTAGCTAGCGCCATGGCCAGACACAGCAGGCCAGAAGACCGGTACGCGGACAAAACTCTGGACGCGTTTTGAGATCCAGTCGCTAAATGGGACTCGAACCGACCGTGTGACCCCATCAATAGATTGCTCTCCGAACGAGGAATCCGTGAGGACACACGTTCCGTTCGAAACCTTTTTAGCGACTCTGGTGCTCAAAACGCGTCCAGAGTTTTGTCCGCCTCCACCGGCCTTCTGGCCCACTGTGCCAGAGCAGCCGCGTGGCGCCACACTGCAGACTGCACACCGGTGCACTGCGCCGTGCTGTGCCGTGCCCCGGCGACGCCCCTCCCCCTCCCACCTCTTACCCGCGGTGGCCAATTAAAAGTATAAAATCCGGTAATTTTGATGTGTTGATGGCAGGCGAGCGGCCGCGCCGGGTCGGCCGGCACGCGCACCGGCGTCATGCATATTGTATGCACAGGCACACTATTTACAACTTATCATAATGGAGATTATGCGCGCCTTTTGCTTTGGCCGGCGCGTTGCCAACACTGCAGCAAACGACCCGACTGGTTAAAGACGCGCCTGTCGTTTTCCCACCCAAAAATAAAAGGAGGACTTAGTTTGTGAGCCGCGGGCTGAGCTCGTGTGGCAGGACTGGCAGGAGAGGTGAAGACGCGTCATCCTGAGAGACCGGTGAGACCCTTTATCTGATGAATGAGCCTGAACACACACACACACACACACACACACACACACACACACACACACACACACACACACACACACAGACACAGACAGGCGCACGCTCACACCTACACACGTGCACACGGACGCGCAGTCCAGCTCGTCTTTCTCGGCAGTGTACTTACTTAACGCGGAGGGGCTTTGGCTTTCACGCGCGGAGTGTCGTGAGAGTCATCGAGAGGAAGGGAGACAGGAGATGGGCGGACAGGCTGGCTCGTAAACATGCCAGACGAGGATGAGCTGGACCCGTTCGATAGACCTGCCGCGGTCGTTCCGTCGTTCCGACGCGAGTTGCTAATTGGCTGAGGAAAGCCACCCCTTGTTTCGACTTCTCTCTCTCTCTCTCTCTCGCACCCCTGCGTGACACCCTGAGTGCGAGAGAGAGAGAGAGACTTCCCGCCCCAACGTTGATCTGCCCCGCTGCGCACCTCCAACCACTCTAACGATGAATCCTGTTTGTTCCAGATCTTGTTCTGCACGCTCAACACCCACAAGGTGGACATGACGAAGCTACTCGGCGGCCAGATAGGACTGGATGACTTCATTTTCGTACACAGAAAAGGTGAGCCCCTGGCGCACGCGCGCAGCGGGGAGAGCCACTGCAGGCACTGACGCACGGAGCTGATTGGCACCTTAATACTAGTGTAGCATCCGTACATAACAGTGTATCTACCTTGGGATTCCCCATGAAGATACGTTGTTCTGCCAGATGATCACTCAATTGTGCCCATTTTTGTCATTTTCCTATCAGGTCGGCCGAAGGAAATCGAGATTACGAAAACAGAGGACGCGCTGGGGCTGACCATCACCGACAACGGGTCGGGCTACGCCTTCATCAAGAGGATAAAGGAGGGCAGCATCATAGACTCTTTGCAATACGTCCAAGTAAGAAAACACCGACCAAACTTGTTGAAAAAGTGGAATAAAAAATGAAGAGGGCATGTGCTAATGAGTGACGATCTGTTGTAGGTGGGAGACCACATCGAAAAAATTGACCGTGTGTCGGTCGTGGGCAGAAGGCACTTCGAAGTCGCTCGCATGCTCAAGGAGATCCCCAAGGGTGCCACATTCACCCTCAGGCTGGTGGAGCCCCTCAAGGCTGGTTTCTGTAAGTCTCAATTGTTTGAATTTTGATGGTTTTCCTCTCCACTAATTCACTGGTCAAAATTAATTTTTCTTCTTCTTTCTTCTTTCAGCAAACATTGGGCCGCGGTCGGGGCCTCGACAGAGCAAGGGCTATGGCAACGGGAAGGGGACCCTTCGCCTTCGCGGGAACGGCCCCGCTCAAATCGAAGAATTGGTGAGACATCACTTTGCCACTTTCATTTAGCTATAAAAATTCAAAACAACAAAAGACGATTATGGTCTTTTTGTATTTTTCAGCCTGATGCCTCAATGCAGCTAGCCATCGACAACATAAACGCCTCATTGGAGAATTTCATGGGAATCAATGACACCGAATTGGGTGAGTAGGGAGGGCTGATCATAGTAAGTTTTATTCAAGTGTCTTTGTTTACTTATTTATCTGACCTGTTTTCTTTACCAGCCACTCAAATTTGGGAAAAGGCCGAAGGGAAGTCCAATAGCATGGATTTTGCTGAAGCCATCGACAACTCAGACCTGGAGGAGTTTGGCTTTACGGATGATTTTATCATTGAACTGTGGGGAATGATAACAGATGCAAGGGATGGTAGGCTGAAGCCAAAATAAAAGTTGTTATCAATTAGGACTATATCCCATGGAACCTCTGCTGAGCTAGTAATATTTTCTGGCTTCTATGAAAAAATACTTAAAATTATAAGTACCCATGAAGTGAGTGTTTGTTGCCCAAGGCATGACATATCAACTGACCTCGCTTATAAATTGAATTTCCTCCTTGATGCTCCTAGCTGTACACTGGCAGGACACTTTGAACCAAAGTCAAACAGCATAATTTTAGCACTCTCAGAACAGTAGTCAGAACAATACCAAAAACAGCAGAGCGTACTGGGTCAAAAAATGAAATCTATTGGTACAGTATCAAGAAGGGGAAATGTCAAATCCCAAGATTGTGTTATTTATATTGTGTTCTTAAATTAGTTTACTGTATGTAATTTTTGTTATAACAAGTGCCATTTTTAGTAAAGAAATGAACTGTTCCAGCACAAGGGCAACCAGTAAGAGTAATAAAATCATTTGTGCATATCCAATAATTATTCTTGAAAGGCAGCTGGCTTTGGCTATGAGCTTAATTATGAGTACTTTGATCAACAGATTATCCAGAATGTATTTGGATCAGTAGTGCTGCCATCTTAGAACAGTGGGCTTTCCACACCTCTGGCCATTTCTACTGTGTAAGAAAAATGAAAAATGAACTGGTAACATTGATGCTACCAAACAGTCATTACCCAATGCCTTTCTGTGTCTTAAATTTTTATCTTAAACAAATTTGTATTGTACATATTTTTTGTTTGATTGTCAATTCTGTGAAGTATACAAAATTAAAAGTAAAGAAGTATGTGGGCAGTTAAGTTAAACAGATCAGAGATAAAAACAATAATTGTGATTATTCCGAGCGACCAAAGGATGTACAGAGTCTGACGACTCTAAGTGTGAAATATTGTGTACATATTTAATTGTGCTATCATTAAATTTATTAAGTATCTACTTCTGGTGGTAACTGCTGTGATCATAGTCCCTTTTTCCACATTGATTACTGTGCAGTGTTTGGTAGTATAAGAAAAAAAGATTGAATTCTGTAACATTTATTCATTTTTATCACAGTCGCCGACAAAGTGTAAGATCGAACTGTAATGTAGTCTTTCAGAATCTATGTTCAAATCTTTTTAGCAAACATAAATATTCTGACTCTTACAGAGATTGAATAAGAACAGAGAAACACAACATCTTTATACAAATATTTAGATTCATGCAAACTTTGCACTGATTTGTCTTTGAAATAATAACATTACTATCTTATGAGCAAACTAAGGAAAGGTACAACATCATAATGTTAAAGTACTTTCAAGCTCAACTATCACATGACTCTTTAAAAAAAAATTATCAGAAAACAAGGTAGTTTCCACATCAAAATCTAAAAAAAAAATATTCACAAGTTTAGACAGCACTGCCCAAAATTCCCCTTGCAAGATACAAGATGGGACAACTTGCTTTGTTGGAATTTATTCAAAAGTAACAGCTGAATGAGCAGTAAATTGGGACAGATCTATACACCTTCTGAAATAAATTTTTTTACAGATCAACAACTGATGATTTGTTGAGTGCAAATAAGACTTCATGGCACAACAGACAAATTGAGATGTGAGTATTTACACAATGACCCTAGAAGTCAGCCAACAAAGCTGGTCACAGCTCCAAATATATTATTTGCTTTGGTATTGACAGTTTTTCATGCCAAGGACGCAGCGATCCTTCCGCCTACAGTCAAGAAAAACATCACAGAAATACATATTGATTCACAAAGCCCGCAGCGCAGAGCGTGCGAGTCCATTTGTGACGTTAGGTACACTTGAAGGTGCAGAGCCGTGGTCACTGCCCCATCCACGCGTAGGGGTTCAGGCCCCAGCCCTGGTAATAGCCTTGGTATTGCTGGTACTGCTGCTGCCCGCCCTGGGGCTGCTGCTGCTGTTGCTGTTGCTGCTGTTGGTGCTGCTGCTGGGGCGGCGGCCCCTGCGACTGCGAGGGCGACTGCCCCCCTTGGGCCCCTGGGGCGGGGGGCGGCGGGGGCGGGGGCGCGTGCATGTGGAAGGGCAGGTTGGGGTTGTAGAGCTGCGGCTTGGACTGGTAGTGGTTGTACGTAGGCCGCTCCCTGTCTCTGTCGCGCTCCCGGTCCCGGTCCCGGTCCCTGTCGCGCAGGTCTCTGTCTCGCTCCCGGTCACGGTCACGCCCCTCTTCGCCTCCCCCGCGCCCGTTGTTGTTGCTGCTGCCGCCACCGTTGTTGTTGTTGTTGGAGCGTCCGCGAGCGAAAGGGCCGTTGTAGTCGGCGCGGCCATTGCTGTCCCGCGCCTCCCTGCGCTCCAAGTCTCGTTGCCTGTCTCTGTCTCTGTCGCGCTCTCGGTCACGGTCTCGCTCCCGGCCGTGGTCCCTGGGGTCCTCTTCGTCGTAGGATCCTGAGGGAGTCTTCCCATCACGTTCATCGTTGCATTTATCTCCTGAAAAGTGGAAAACGTTAAAACACACCAACGTGAAATATATTTACGAAAGACGGAACGTTGACTGTACCTTTGTTTTGGTTTTGAGGGTCTTGGCTCGAATTTCCACTGCCATCACACCAGTTATCTGCAAAAATAACGAAGACTTACAGATGATGCAGTAACAATAGAAAGGGAGAGACTCCAAAGCTGCTGTACATAATGTGCCTCCACAACATGGAATTAGGTGGTATGTTGGGTAAACAAAAATTGAAGCAGCATGATTCAATTCAATTTTACGTAATACATGCTAAAATGGAATAAATTAAAAAGAAAAAAGGGTTGCACATTCAATGTCCAGCAGCAGAGGGGTAGCCTTTCTGCTCTCATTCAATTTTCACAAAAGAACCCTTTTCATCGGTTTTTAGCCTCACAGAAACATGGCAAAAACACATAAATTGCACCAGATCACTCAAGTTCCTTAGCAATGTCTTTGGTTCAATTTGATTAACAATTAAACATTGGTTTACCAGTGAATAGAAAGCTTGGAAGTATGAACTAAGATGCATGCAAATCTAAACATAACAATAATCAACTACATTTTAAAATTTAACTGGCAACACAGCTTTAAGGAAATTTCATAACATTCTCCTCTTGCAGTGAAAATTACAGAAGTATGTCTCCTCTTGTCTTTAACACTGAATCTTAACATTTACTATAGCAGATAATCAAACTTTAAGATGTGGCGAACATGTCTTGAAGCCCTGAATGTGACAGAGCACCATTGTCTTCTAGTTTGTTAATTTAACTGCTACTAAGCTGATTAATGTGACAAAATCCCACATTTCTTATCACATCTCTTGTGAAGTAGACAGAGATGAGAAGTCTTTCATACTCTTATGATTTGACCATATTTTTGGCCATATTCCCCACATTCTCTCCAAAACATTCAGAATACACAATCGATTTGCTGGGCTACACTTTTTCTTGTCCTTCCATTTATTTTCTTACTACACAAAAGAAACAAAGTCCATAAGGGGAAATCTCATGCTGAGTGTCGGCTGTTCTGCCTGGAGGACGGTACGGTTCAGGTTATGCAATACAAACGAATACCGAAGAGGAGTCGAGTCTGCTGGAGGCTCAACAGCCAGCCCTGCATAGCAGCCCTGCATGGCCCTGCCCAACCTTGTAGCCAAGTGTTGCATATTTTTAACAGCGCCGGGAAGATCAAGTCTTCCCAAAGTCAAATGCAGCAGCAGCAGCAGCAGAGGCACAAGCAGCAATACTGTCCACCTCAAACTTCTGGGAGACCTCGTGAAGGAGAAAGGGGTGAAGGGAAAGACAAATTTATAACAAAAAGAAAAAAAATGTCTGATCCAGCGACAATCTGTAAAAGCTTTCTAGATAGTGAGAGCTGACGTCTAAAGTTGTTGAATTCCTTCATCAAGCTGAAGTAGTGATGGGGATGACAGAAACTTTCATTCACTTTGATTACTGACATGAGTCATCACTAAACATAAGGTCTACAAAGAGCACTTCAAAGTGCATCACTGACTATCATTCCTTGACCACGACCACATTCGATTGTACAATACACCTGATGAGGAAAAGTCCTATACAACAGGAAAAGATTTACAGACCCAATGAAGGCAAAATATCACTGGTTCCTGCATAGATAAATAATAGGATTAATAAAATAGGGGCAGAGCATCCTCAGCAAAGAGGTCACACACTTTCCAGTCAGTGCAGGCACATACAGATGTTTCTTTGTGTTGATGCTGTCCAATGTAAAATTTATACAAACATGCGACAGCAGATTTCACTACACCTCTGGCGGAAATAGACTAGCTCTTCTAGGGACTGGGATGCTTCTTGACGATACTTGTGAGCTGCTGCTTTCCATACTTCACAAAATATTACTCTGAGGGTTACCAACCCATACAACACTTTGAATTAAATTTTTAAAAAGGAATAAAAAAAGGATAAAAAAATAAAATAGCCCTAATATCAGCAGGCTTATCTGTAACATGCTATATATATCGCCCCTAACTCTGGGCGCTATCAACGGCAAGGACCACTGAAAATCAGGGCAAGAGCTTTAACGGGTTGCAGGTTGCCACATTACCAACCTTGACCAATGGCAGATGACGTTTGATGCATCGTTGTCTTGTCGCGGTCGCGGCTAGTGGGGCCTTGCGGGCCGTTTTGAGCGCCGCCCGGTTGCACACTTAGCTGCTGCCGTTGCTGATGGTTCATCTGAATCAGCTCCTCAATACTAGATATGGACAAAACAGTGGTATAGGAAACATGTTTCGTTTCGACACAAGTCGGCAGCTGCATCTGATATTTAGAACAAATCAACAGTCAGGGGCGGAAGTAAATTGATTGGGGGAAAAAAATTAGTTTAAGATGCTTTGTCACGAAGGCAGATGCTGAAATTTATCTAACAGTGCGAGGTACAGCCAAATCTGTCACAGTGTCATGAAATTAACTTTGGTTTCTTAATGCAAAAGTGTTGGAAAATGGATTTGATCTTTGATATTTGTTTGAGCTTTATAGTTTCAGAACTGTTTAGAAGACAAATTTAATTGAAAGTTTGTCTGTACTAATTGATGAGAGGGGTAGGACTATGCAAGGGGAAACTGTGTTGAGAAGCTAAGATAACTGTGAATCAACTAAGGTCACAACTTTAAAATAGGGCTGTACTAGCATCACAACAAATATAATGAAACTGTATTTCCATGCACGGAAATACAATTACATTACAAGAAAAATGAAAGCATACTATCTAATGTTCAGTGACAGCCTTACTTTCACTCCAGCATCTATGCACAAACCAAACAAAGCTGACCATCATTTGAGAAAAAATAAAAACAAAATGTAGAAAACAAAAAATAACGAACAAAAAACAAGATAACATAAAAGTAAAATGTTCTTAGAGTTGCAGATATTTGCAATTCGGTTTAGCACTCAATAATTTGTAAGGATGTCTTATGTGGATTCCAAGGGTCCTAGCAAGAGATGCAGATGACTTAAAAACCAAAACCTTCCAAAGAATCAATTTAAAAATTAAGATCTGAAATTTTGATTATTAAAACCCAAACATAAAGAGACTCACAAAAATTTCCAGGGACAGCTTGAATTTTGAACGCCCATTGAGCAGCTACTGTCCCACATGTGAGTTAAAGCGCCTAGGGGAATAAAGGAACCGTCTTGCATGATTTAGAGGTACTTGGTACCACATGTTCAATATGAAGGATGAAAAAAAAAAATTGAGCAAACAAACTGGGAACCCCTTAGTCTAACCTGGAAATAGATAAAAGTTCCCTTTGGTTTAAGGAAAATGCTGATAAAGACAAATAAAGCTTAAAATTTGGCTTGAAATAAATCATCCTGCTTAAAATTGTTAACACAAACTGATTAGTGACAGACTTTACATTTTGCTCGACTGAAATCAGTAGTAATCCACCACCATATTGATGATACAAATTATTTCACCACCCTGGGCAATCACATCTGCAAGAGAGTAACATTAGCTCTGCAAACAGAAAATTGTGAGTTTTAGTTTCTGTACTCACCCTATTCCCTGTCGTTGATGGGGCTGCGGTGAGGGCCGCCGCTCCTGATTCTGTTGAGCTGACTGTTGGTTCTGGGATGATCCTTGTCTAGAACTCTGAAAATTGCAAGAAGAAACTCATGAACATCGAGATGGCTGGAACTTTTTATCAGGGCACAAATAAATTCCCACATGATGATGGTGAAGCTAAAACTGTAATCAATACTTACTTGTCCAGTATCTTGAGCATTGGGACTCTTGCGGTCTTGCTGAGGCTGCTGGACACTAGGCGAGCTAGGCCCATGAGGCGCAGTCTGCCCATGCATTGGACTCTGGTTCCCTGGTGGAAGTTGGTAAGGAATGTGCTGCTGGAGGTGGGGGGGAAGTTGCTGCTGGTGTAGAGGCACGCCAGACTGAGTCATTATGCCTGGTTGGTAGGCGCCATAATTGGCAGACGACACCTGTGTTGAGGTGAGGGGAGGTGCTGGCGCAGGGACAGGTAAGGGAACAGCGACTGATTGCTGTGGCGGTTGTTGCTGCATGTGAGGGGGCCCCATCATTCCCGGATGCATCGGAGGGGGCACTTGGACCACAGCCTGAGTCCCTGACGGAGCCTGAGCCTGGCTCGTCATCTGAACATAACCACCCTATAAACAAGAAGAAATCCATTATGCAAGTACTTTCTCTGGACAAATTCAATTTTTAATCACATAAAGGAGGAGTGAATTACCTGATTATGAAGTATATGATTTGATTGCTGAGCTTGTGAGTGATCCAACATCTGTTGATGTGGAGGGCCTTGCATCATGGGGGCTGGGGAGCTTGAGGGATGGTTACTTTGCTGGAACTAATAACAAAAAATGAATTTTGATGATTTGATACACAAAAAAAAGTGGTGGTAAAAGAGATAGACTGCAATCCATACCTGCAATGTATACTGCATTGGAACGGATTGACTGATGAAGTTAGCCTGCACTTGTTGGCCAGCTTGTGAATGCTGGGGTTGCTGGGGTTGCTGTGGCGGAGGTGGGGGTGGAGGTGGCACTGAAATAATCTGCTGTTGCTGAGGAGGCGGCTGGCTTTGCTGGGGAGGAAGCTGGAACTGCAGCTGGGCATTCACCATGGGGGGAGGCTGGTGCATGAGGGAGAGGCCTGCCTGGACGTACAGAGGCTGCAAAAGCAACATTCCTCACTCAGTGCAATTCAGCAAACACACAGTTTTTCGTGTTGGTCTAAGACAAAACTCACTTGCTGCTGGCCTTGCTGAGGAGGCTGAGGCGGCGGCTGCTGGAACAGCCCCAACACCTGCTGGGTTTGAGTCTGAGTTGTCATGGAGGGAGGAGCTTGGCTCAGTATTACTTGCTGGAGCGGAGGAGGAGGTTGAGCAAGCATATGTTGCTGAATCTGTGGTGGCTGCTGACTAGTTGGAGCCAACTGAAACTGAAGACACAAAAAGTGAGACAAAGTTCCAGACATTCTATAAAAGTATAAAATGACATGCACGTCTGTAACACCTGAGCATTGTGAGGCTGTAAATGGTGGACTTGGTGCACCAGGTGCTGTGGCTGAGGTGGCTGCTGTTGCTGGGACTGTTGCTGTTGAGGCGGTACCAAGGGTCCTTGGTGGGTAGGGATGTGCACACCGGGAGGTGGAAGCTGGACTTGTGCCTGAATTAACTGCTGCTGTGGAATCTGTTGTTGCTGTGCCTGTACCATGTTTGGGGGTGGAATCCCAATGGGAGGCGGAGGCACGACCAGAGGTCCAACTGCAAATAGAGATGTAGCATGTAACAAGGTGACAGCTATTCAGTGATATGTCACAGTACTAATGACACTAGCTATATCTCACTTACCATGTTGCTGAGTAAGAATTGTGGGCACATTTATATTTCCAATTGAAGTTGTGACTAGGCCCGCTTGTTGTAACATTTCTGGAGGCAGAGCAAGTAAGCCCGTCTGGCCAACAGATCCCAGTTGCACAGTTTGGATGGCTCCTGAAATTGCCCGTGAGGTAAGATTGCAATAGTGATTACAATAAACAAAACTACAGGGATGATGCCGAAGCTTTTGTGATATAAACCAGACCTTGCTGGAAAGCCAACAAATGTTGTTGCTGTTGCTGTTGTTGCTGCTGCTGCTGTTGGTGCTGCTGCTGCTGCTGTTGTTGGAGCTCTTGCTGGAGTGTTTCAATAAGGTTGATGGCTAATGTACGAGCTTCTCGAACTCCTTCAGGTCTAGGATGTCTAGAAAGCAAAAAAGGTATTTCAAGCAAAATAGTCAGCACAATCATAGCTAGTACATTAAAGAATAATAAGTGATTCATTTATAATGATTACAAAACTCACTCGATGTAAAAATGAAGTGGCTCTAGTGACTCTGTTCCAGTAGAGGGTTCAATGAAACCAGATCCTTTGCCACGCAATGTGACCATAGCACCTGTTTCATTACGCATGTATTGCAAGTTAGCACCACCAACTCCAAGGAGCTTGTTGCGCAAGTCAAAGGTCACAGGAGCATTATCCATTCCTGTTATGACCTTTTCCTGGAAAATAAAAGGGGTAATCAAATAAGCATTCTGTGAATGGCAACCAAGAAAAAAGTTAATCTGACATAAAACTTACAGCTATTGTGGGACTTTGAACTTGAGAGGGGATATTTATCATGGGGGGTGGTACTGATGTAAATTGTGTTGGTAAAATTGAGGGAGGTGGCAAACTGGTTTGAGGTGGTCCCATCTTGAAACGTGACTGACGAGGTTGAGATGGAGGAGGACCATTTTGAACACTGTGATTCATTACAACTTGTTCAATTTTCTCTATGGCCACTGCAAAGCAAAAGAGAACACAGTGAGATATTGATATAATTCATAACCGCTTCTCTTTGATGACAAGACACTTAACACTTACAATTCACAGAATTTTTAGAGGGGCCTTGGATGTAAAGATAAAGAGGGCGTTCACCAAAGCTATGTGCACTATCCTCTGAGTGGAAATATCGTCCACGTGTTGACACAGCAGCACCTATAAGCACATAAAATGAGTAATTGGAATATTTTTAAGATTTATGGTATTAAAACCATAAAAGCAATGTTTTGAAGGTACAGACCTGAGTAGGAACTGATTTCGTCTTGAATCACCCCCTTTGTCAGGAGGTTGCGAGCTGAAGCAGGAACGTGATTGATTTCAAATTCAGCTGAATGGACTGTATCCCCAGACGACAGTTTAGAAGGAAGTCCAGCCTATAACACAGGTATTAGGTAATCCAAGCCGCTCGACAGCAAGGTCAACAAATAAGTTTTCTTTTGCAAAAACATACCTTCATAAATGGAGGTGATCTGCCACTTTTCTCCTTCACTTCTAACATAGCATCTGAGGCAATGGGCAGGATGGCAAGCCTACTCAATGCCAGCATAGCCCTGGAAACACATGAGAATTCACAATCACAATGATTCTGAGGGAGTTGTGAGGTTAAAGGTGATAATGGCTCACAAAAATTAAATAAAACTTTTGGAAATGAAACGAGTAAATCTACTTTAACTCAGGACACTAGACAAGACACATCATTACTTATTAATGAGTTCCTGAGTGATAATCTTTTTCAAAGTTACCTTGATTAGCTTCAACTTTGGATGAGGAAACATCTCATAATTAGACTTGAGATCCTTCCAGGCCATAAATAATAATGCTATGGCCTCACAAAGTCACACTATGCAAGGATCAAAGATCAGGTTGTTGGGCACTCCTCCACAAATTAAGAATGAGATTTGCTGGAGCTTGAGGGTCATCGAGAGCAACTAAGCCTTGCACCAGAAACATTAATGAACCACTCTGTGACGTACAATCACGAAAATATACTACCCAACACACAATATTGATTGTTGCTTATTGGAACAATAAATGTCAGGACGGAAATTCACAAACAGACGTCTCTTTTTTTTTCAAGACTAAGTGCAACATTCACATTCACATACAAGATCATCAAGAGCAGCAATTTTTCATAATATTGCCACTTTTGATGAAAATGTGGGTGTGGGTGTTTGTAGTTTTCGCAAGTGATATGGCCCAGACTTTAACGTGACATCAGCGTGACATCATTCGCGACAATCCGTTGTTAAGCTCACCACAGAATTATTGCAAATTTGACTGTTTCGGAAATTTTCTAACTCTACCCTTTCCAACCCTTAGAATGACAAAGCCTGCATGCGGCTCGTTGAAGCACCAATCTGGCCCATATTGTTTTTTTCTTTTCCTGATGTTTCAGTAACATTTGAATCATCATTTTATGCTTGAAATGATACCTTGAAGTACTTGTGTAGAAATTTCGAAGAAAATCTTCGCTTCATCCACACGAGAAACCTTTTACGGGTGGGGCTCACCACATGATTATATTGTCATACAAATGGGTAAGTGAGGAATGGAGTTGATAGGACAAACCCAGTCAAATGATAGACTGTTGACATTGTCTGTATTATCAAGTTATTTTTATGTTTCAGTGGACATCTCGTTTTGAAAAGAATTTTTTTTAGAGTATACTGAAATGGCTATAGAGGTTGCCCGCATGAGACCTGAAGTGTGTTGATCATTGTGTGGAGCTGTACTTGATGGGCGTATTGTGGTCATGTAAAATGGCTGTTACAGGATGTCAGTGAGACATGAATGAAAATGTAATCTCACCAATTTATTGATTTATTTACTTCAAGTGCTCACACCTTTTTGCACGTGAGTACAAGGGACTTCTCTCGTCCTTTCTCTCCGTGCTATTTTCTCTGTGGAAAGTTATGGAATCACTTACAGAGTGACATGATTTAGTGTGTATGGGTGTCTCTGAACGTGTATTTATGTTTCTCCTATTTATATTTTGGTTCACGTAACTATCTCTTCTGCGTGTGACAAGTCAAAAGACACCGTGTTCTTTGATCACACATATCCCTTGATTTTTTTTTACCAGCTACCTTTAATTTGGCTAGTCTTCGACACTTCCTGGATCCATTGTGTTTTGACAACCAATATTATTGAGTTTGTTTTCTAATTCTAAAGCCTCTCTGTTTTTATTTTAGTGTTCAAATTTAGCCATCATTTTAAATTTTTTGTGATATTAATTTTTATTTCTGGTTGATGAACAATTCTGGCGTGCCTACTCCTCATTTCTATCACTTAACCACAAATCAGTTTCTCTAATATCTCTGAAATATCAATCAGCTGATTGAAGCACCAATATTTCTGGGTAACTTTTCTCGGATTCTTCTTTAATGTGTGGTCCTGCTTAATTTCCATGCCTGAGATACTTGATACAATGGCGAAAATCTGGGCAATATTTTTTGGCCCAGTCCCAGCCCAGTCCTTATCACATCTATTTTTGTAGTTACAAGGTTTTGGTAACAAACACCTCAGGGTAACTGTCGCCAGTGATAAAATTTGAGCAGACACATCCTTCCTTCTTACTGATCCTGCCTTAAAGTGGTTCACTGTTGCTCTTTGATATTGCTGACTTACAATAAGTTTGATTAATTTGTCCACAGCAAAATGGAGTGGGTGGAAATTATTGAACCTCGCACGAAAGAGCATATGTATGCAAACCTTACCACTGGCGAATGTGTGTGGGACCCTCCTCCAGGAGTTCCTGTGTAAGTATTTGGCTTCAGTCTAATCATATTCTGAGTTGGTGGATACCAAAATGGTTGATGGCTAATAAATGGCTAATGTTTATTAATAACAGGAAAAAGACAGATAACAACCAGTGGTGGGAGTTATTTGATCAAAATACCTCAAGGTTTTACTATTATAATGCAACATCTCAAAAGACAGTATGGCACAGACCTCAGAACTGTGACATTATACCCTTAGCAAAGTTGCAGGTAAGATATTACTAGAACTTTGAAGTTGAACTTTACTCAGTTCAGAACCCTTATTTATTATTTTGTATGTCTCTTCATATTTTAGACTTTGAAGCAGAATACTGAACCCGTGGTGGATGACTCTGGTGACAAAGAATCTACAGGGACTCAAACTCCTGGCCACACACGGCGAGATGAAAAAGGCTCTGGCTCGGCAAGTCCCTTGTGGTTTATTTTTGACATGTCATTAGTTTGAATTCCGTTGGGTCCTAACTGGTACCATTTCTTTCCTAGGAACCTAAACGAAATGAAGCCATACGCCTTAGTACTCGAAGTATGCAATCGGTTAAAAACTCAGTGAATAGTGAAACACAAACTTCACCACTTGCTTCTCCTCACATGAATAGAAGACCACACCATCACCATCATCACAGGCACCATGGCCATTCCCAGGTATCACATGGGGAGCGAGAAAAGTCCGAAAAAGCAAGCAAAGATCGTGTTCCTGACAGAGATCTCATCTCTGATGGACGCAACCCGATTGCTGATTGGGAAAGGGACAGGGGTATGGACAGAGACCGGGAGAAAGAGCGGCGGTTGGAGAAGGAGCGTCGGGCTGAGAGGGAGAGGAGGGAAAAAGTACAAGAATGGGACCATCGGAATGAAAAAGAGAGGAGGTCTGACCGGGAGAAAAATGAGAGAGAAAATCGTGAGAGGGACAGGGCTCCCGCAACTGCAGCCAGCTCAAGCCAGCAAGCGTGGCCCAGCAGGACAACTCAGTCTCAGGTTTGTTTTATTTAATTTGTGGTGCCATGTTTATGATAAGCAAAGTGAATGTGTGCGCTGAGTAAGTATTTTTGTATTTTGCAGGATTCTGGAAGATCTAGTGATTCTAGCTCTGTTTCCCATAGCCGTACCTCTTTAGAATCAAGTGGTTATCGAGTAAATGAATCTCCACATCATCAAAGTAGTAGAAGTGACCGCTCGGATAGAGGCCAACGTATTGAGGGTAGTGAAAGGCAAGACCGAGCTGAAAGATCTGATAGACAAGAAAAACATGAGCGATCTGAAAGACCAGAAAAGGAGAGACCTGATCGCCATGGCCTGAGACCAATAGCTGCCTCAACAAGTACACCACTGTTCAAGAAGAAACCTCTTGGAGAGGTCAATGCTCAGCAACAGGTACGTTCATCAATTTCGATGGAGTTGCTTAATGGATCTTAAGTTCTTTTACTTACCGGAAGTTTGTTCTGTTTGCACAGTATCAGAAGGCCAGTCTTGACAAATATGGGCTCCTTTCATCTGGATCAGCTCAGAGAGAGCAACCTCAGGCACAAAATTTACCCAAGCAGCGCAGCTTTGATGTTGAATGCATTACCACAGGTACGCAAATTATTTGTCAGTATTCCTCTCCTCTTTCAAAAAATCAGTGCATACTAAGCCAAATTTTTTTTTTCATAATTTCAGGTGGAGGAGCCTTTAGCTATGATGGCAGACATAAGGTACCAACGCCTAGCCAGTTGGCTCGTAGTTACAGTTTCATGCAACGGAGGGAGAGAGAACGGGAAAGAGATGGAGACAGAGATGAAGATGATTCAATGCATGAAAAGTATTTCATGAATCCAGTGGCCATTAGATCTGTTGAGTCCACACCCCAGTCTAGGAGGTATGTCAAACTTACATTGCTGGCTATGCTCGATGTCTTGCACGCAGTCTTTTTATTGCATTCCATCTGGTACCGATACTTTGCTGTCATATTATTCAGTTTATCTGACAAACTCTGACAGAAATATTAAATTTACAAGCGCAGTTAAAAATCCTGGCCTAAAGAGGACCTTTTCTTATGATTATGCATACTATTATGTTTTTTAAAATTCCTAGTCCCTCTTACTCTCTTTCAATTAATAGCAGTACTCTAAATTGTCTTCAATGTCCATGCTAGAAGGTAGATATAGATTTAGTTTAGTTTTTCTAGTTGCTTATCTATAGAAAGTTACACAGCATTCTCCTGTGACCTTCTAATGTTTACCGAACATGTTCCTGGGATAGAATATTTATGTCACTGATATTTTGTTATAATTTCTTACATCTCCTCTTTAATGAATAATAATAAGAAGAATATTAAAAATCTTTCATGGAATGCATGAGCACATAGACTGTTAGCATTTTCCTCTTACCAGCCTGATTTTTTTCATCCTTTATTTATTTATTTCATATGTTATGCTTTTGTCTGTTTTGCATGAACATATCACTATTATGTTTACCCAGGAAATATCATCACAGCAACTCAGAGCACCCAGCCCTCCCAACTCCCAACATGTCCCGCAAGTCCTTTGCATTGCGCTCCCACAACTCGCCAGCCCCTCACTCCGCACACAGTTCGTCCTCCAACTCCCGCATTCGTCGTAGTCCAGCCACCGGGGGCAGCTTTCGGAACAAGGACGCTGGAGACATTTCCAGTAGTGATGATGAGTCGAGTGCGTCACTGTCTCTCTCATCCTCTCCCCCTGCTACGTCACCAATGTCACCACGGACAAGTCTGAAGACGTCATCTCTCACTAAAACATCTTATCCTCCAGAGAAAGAACTTCCTGCTAACCGAAAAGCCGTTGAAGATTTTAAAAATTCAAAAGACTTCCATGATGCAAGAGACTGGAAGCTTCGTGGTCGAGAGTCTAGAGAGTCCCGAGATTCCAAGGAATCAAGGGAGACTAGAGAGGCCAAAGAACTGAAAGAGATGAAGAGAATGAAGGATGTTCACTGCACTAAGACAAGCTGGGAAGAAAGAGACAGCTTGACTGGGAAAGAACTTTCGAGGAATAGGAGTTTTGGTAGCTATGGTAAAGAAAAAGTTGCACAGGAAATTGAAGGAAGGCCGATGAAAGATGTATGGGAGTTGAGATCATCTGTTAAAGACTCAAACACTGCTTCTCAAAGTATGGACTCTTATCATAACCGAGATAGCAGAGGAAGAAAGTATGTTGAGAAGGAAACAAGACCTAAGGAGTCAAAGGATGCACGGGTGCAGGAGTCAAAGGATCCAAGGATACAGGAAGTCAAAGAAGTGCGAGACATCCGACAATCATTGAAAGAGTCCAAGGATGCCAGAGACTCAAAGGAAGGACGAGATTTCCGTCAACAAATGAAAGAGATTAAGGACTCGAAAGACTACTTCAGGGATACTAGAGATTCAAGAGATTCTAGAGAATCAAGAGAATCCAGGGACTTACGAAACTCAAGGGATTCAAGAGAATCGAAGGACTTGAGGGATGCCAAGAACTCTGGAGGAAGAGAGCACAAAGATGCCAAGAGCAGAAGTGACTGCCAGGTTTGGGAAAGCTATGAAAAGTCTGGATACGATGGTCGAGGTACACAGGATTCACGTGGAAGCAGGGACTCAGAGACGAAGCAAAGGTCTTGGGATCGTTCTGGACCTCAGTGTCACAATGAAACCAGGGGCTCCCGGGAATCCAGGACTAGTGGTACTGCTTCTGACAGGTCATCCAACACGTTAGTATTTCTTTCCCTATGTTTGTTTTGTTTCATTTTGTTTGTTCAATGGCTACACCCATGGGGCACCTGGAACAAGTTTGGTTTAGAACTGTTGCATGTGTTTTGGAATGACTTTTCTCTTTGTTGCATGCTTCACTTGTTGAATCATTGGCATGTTACTTTTGTGTTTTTTGTATAGCATAGTATGTTTTGTTATGAAGTTGAACACAGCTTTTCTTGACCATGCAAAAAGGGTGCCTTTTACTCACGCTTTAATAGTAGGTTTAGGAGCAAGTGACTGCTTTAACCTTGACACCTGTAAATTGGTTTTGTCTCTTAATACCTTTTTGGGTATGGTGTGGCTTGTCTTACTCAAGGGATGGTACAGTGGGTAACTGTTGCATGCTGGTGTCATTTAAAAAATGATCTGATTATTTCAAGGATAAATTAAAAACAAATTTAAATATTGAATTTTTATTATTACAGGAACAATGGAAATCATAACAAATACATGTCAGAATCTGACGTGGATAATAACTCACCTCTATATTCAAATGTTGATTACCCACCTTACATAATGGATGCTGAGAAGCACTCTCATTTGCTTCCCCTTCAACAATATATTTTAGAACAAGCAAAACTATCTGGTAATATTAATGTTAAATCTAAGAGGTTTATGTCCTTTGTAATGTAAATTTTGTTTATCCGTACTTACATCCGTATATTCACTAGGTTGCTATCGATTTGGTGATCCATTGAATGAAGAAGTGGATTCGTTGCACTCTGATGATGAAGACCGTCTTTCTCGGTCTCGCCCTGAAGACGATAGTGATGAATTTGCTGATGATGAAGGAATGAGCAACCAAGGTGACTCCAGTTCTCAAGAGTACTTGGATGACAGCAATTATCTGGAAGAAGAGGAAGATGATGATGACGATGACGGTGAAGATAACAGCTATGTGTCTCATCGCAAATACTTACCTTGTGAGTTCAGTTACTTGAAATTTCATGACTTTTTGTGGTAACATGAAGTTGACACTTTGATTTTCGTCTGGAACAGCTGATCCTCAAATGCCTGATTATGTTGATGGCCTTGAGGCTCGTATGGCTTCTGGTAGTTCTGGCCTTTACTACAACACTGGTCTTGTAGCTCATGGCAGTTTGCAGGCTAATCAGAGACCAGGTAAGAATTTAAAATAAACCGTATTTTTCTTTTTTCTAATTTTTCTTTGAGGTATATGAAGTGTCTTGACAAAAATCTTGTTTATAGGTGCTCTTAACTTACCACAAAATACTCCTCAAGAAACTGTGCATGCATCTCTGAAACGCAAGAAGGATGCTCCACTGCCTCCACCTCCTGCTTTGTACTCACCCATCATGGAACGCCATGAGGTAACTATTTTTTTATTTTTGCGTGCCTTTTTTGTCCTCATTTTATGTTCTTTTATTTGGTAGATGCATCTCAATCATCACATCTGTTTTAGACCATTTTTATAAAGCTTTAGTTGATCTTATTATTTATCTGTACAATACCAATAGCTTTGGCTTTTCAGGCCATTGCATTATTTTACCAAAATAGGCACCAATGTAGCTAGGCTACCTTAAAATTCACTTTGCTCTGAACGCTGTCTGTGTTTACATTTTACACCATTAGTTGGTACCTTTCCGATTAATTCTATTTCCTTCGTGGATATTATCTGTGTAGACCATTGAATCGTATAGCATGAGTTTGGTTGTTTTTGTGTTTTTTCAGTTTGCCGTCGGTCCTCTTTCCCCTCAGTCTGACCCTGGCTGCCCTTCCTCCCCAAGGCCCTTGCCCTTTCTTATGCACTCTCCCTCGATTTGTTGCCACCACCGTCCCATGTCGCTCCCCGTGCCCTCCGCGGCCCCGCTGCCTCCCTTGCCTCTGCCTTTGCAGGCAGCCCTCCCCCTGCCCCACCTTCTCCCCACCCCCACCCCTGTCCGGCCCACTCCTTCATATTCCCCCAGGCGTACTTCCCAGCCGGGCCCGGCCCAGTCGAATTTTGTCAGGTACAGAGAACACTTAAAACGTCCCGCCGTGCATAATCACTAAAATGCAAAGTGCTTTGCACCCTGAGGCCAGCTGTACATAATGCTGATGATGAGAAGGGAACATTCACGCACCTGCCTTTGTCATTTTTTTTTAGTAAATTTATACTTGGCATGTCCCTTTGGGTCTCACTTGTTTTCCCCCATTCACCGGGTTCACCTGCAGCTTGTAATACAATGAATTTGTTCTAATACCTCGCTGCAATCTAAACCTCGCTGCAATCAAAAAGCAAACATAATGGAATAAATGGTATCAAAAATATTACCATTTTTTATCTGAGATGGATCTGATTCTGTTTTGTATTGTTTGTTTGTAAGCGGTATTGGAGCTTTTGCGTGCATGTAATTTAATATTTTTCTCTCCTGCTTTGAAAGCTACAAATATTCCGAACTCCTTTAGATGCTAGCTTTTGAGCAAACATATAAAAACTTGAGGAATTTAAAAAAAATAATTTTAGTTGATTTGCAAATTTTTGTCCATACATACCCCACTAATGACTCAAGGTTTTTCCAACTTAATACATTGATTGCAAAAGATTGCAAAGGTTTTGAATTCCTATCCTTTCACATGGGACCATGACCATTCTCTTGGTCACATTGCTATCAATGTGTTAGTGCTACCTTCATAATAAATATTCTTGACAATTTCCCGTTTTTAGTTTCTACTGATTTGTAATATGTCCATTCCTCTCTTAATTCTTTTCTTTGTACTGACAGACTCAACTTGAAGTCCTTTCTTTTCACTTACATGTTGCTTTGTTCTTGCTTTAGATGTCAAGATCTGCACTTAACCGAGAAAAGAAGCAGGCTTCTGACAGTGATATAGAAAAGTATGCCCAGGATAACTTGAACATTCACAAAAAAGGCATTTTCCGTAAGAAGTTCTCTGTGAGGGATATGCTTTCTTGGTCTAAGGTGAGATGCATTACGAATACAGTGTTGATGTTTGTGAGATTTTTCAACTGACTTTGACATTATTTTTGTTCATTTCAGGATCCCATAAGGAAAACTATGCTTGTTCTTTCTGACAAGGCTCTGAAGAAAGATGCTTGTGAATTGTTTAAACTGATTCAAATATACATGAGTGACCGCAAAGCCAAAGTTGGAATGACACTCAACAGTGTTGCATTAGATATATGCAATATTGGGTATGGTAAACCAGCACTGCGAGATGAACTGTACATTCAAATTTGCCGTCAAACAACTGAGAATCCTAGGAGGTATAAGAATATAATTTTTTAATTTGACTCATTTTGATTTTTCAATCCTATTAACTTTTGAGAAGTGAAGCAAACTGTTGTGATATTTAAGTCTCATTTCGTTTTTTGCTTTTCCTCAGGGAAAGTCTACGACGTGGCTGGGAGCTAATGGCTATATGTCTTGCCTTTTTCCCTCCATCTCCCAAATTTCAATCTTATCTTGATGGCTATATGAATCGCCACCGTGATCCTAGTTTTGATTTTCCGGAAGTTGGCAAATGGCCAATCCATGTGCAAATAAGCCACTATGCAACTGTAGCCTGCAAACGACTGGATCGAATAGGTGTGAGTGGAAAGAGAAGCCCACGAAAACCTTCTGTAGAAGAAATCGATCAAGTTAGGGTAGGTACACACTTGAAAATAGTTGTTGAGCGATGCAAAGCACCCTGTTGGGATATTCAGGCCTTCCCCTGGCTTGTACTTTGTCTTGTTAAGAAGAAGAATGGTAATTTTATATTTGTATCATCTTTGCAGCTTCAAATCTTCCGCCCAAGCATGTTTGGCAACACCCTACAGGAGGTCATGCAAGTTCAGAGAGAACGTTTCCCACACAGAAAGCTTCCTTGGGTGCAAACAGCACTCTCTGAAGAGGTCCTTCGGCTTGAGGGGGCTCACACTGAAGGCATATTCAGGTATTTTTAATTTATTGTGTGGACATCATTTTTTTAACTTTGTAGAATACACAGTTCAGTGGAGAGTTGGATGTAACTGTAATTTTCCGTATGTTTAGGGTGTCAGCTGATGTTGATGAAGTCACTGCACTCAAGTCTCGTCTGGATCTTTGGGAGTTACCCCAAGATGCATCTACAGATGCTCATGCTCCTGCATCTCTTCTCAAACTTTGGTACAGAGAATTGTATGAACCTCTCATACCAGATGCATTATACAACGAGTGTGTTAATTTCCATGACCAACCTGAAAAGGCTATAGCCATAGTTCAACGTCTTCCTGAGCTTAATCGCCTTGTGCTGTCCTATCTCATACGATTTCTTCAGGTAAGTTTATGGAAATAAGTTTCATATTGTTATTGAATGGACTTAAAACATAATTTCATTCATCTTGTATTTTTTTTACAGATATTTGCCAGACCAGAGGTTGTTCAAGTTACAAAGATGGATGCCAGCAATCTAGCCATGGTGATGGCACCTAACTGCTTGCGTTGCACATCGGAAGACCCTCGTGTAATTTTTGATAATGCCCGTAAAGAAATGGCATTTTTGCGAACTCTCATTCAAAGCTTGGACACTAGCTATATGGAAGGAGTTGTGTAGATGGTTGTGAATACCAACTGCTGATAAAGACTGACAAGAACCGCACAAGTATCCAGCAGAGAAATTTTGTCCAATGTAATAATCGGCTCAAAAAAGAAACAACAGTTTGTCTATTTTGTTTTCATTCTTTACATTTCACTTCTGTTATGTATTATTAAAAAGTAGGTAAAGGTATCTTACTTCTATTGCTTGAGGTGGACTTATTTAGCTTGGCAGCTACTACACAAGTCAGTTCTACTACTTATTAATGCTGTTGCAACTTGACTGGAGATTCAGTTTTGTGCTATCTTTTTTTCTTTTTGCATTAGAAGCAACTATTTTATATTCCTTTCTACTGTATTAAGTTTAATTTTTCTACTTAACCAAAAGTTATTGCTTTATTAGCCAATTTCTGATTTGCAGCTAATGAATCCTTTCCATTGTTAATTCCTCTCAATTTGGAGATTGTGTTGTTAATGTATCAACTCATAACATTATGTGTTTGGGCATGTCACGTTTCCTCATTTTTTCATTCCCATTTTTTACTTCTGTTTTTCTGTAATGAATAATAAAAAAAATAACAAATAGGAGGGTGAATCTAAACGTGTGTACCATGTAATGATTAGACTGACAAAAGCTTATTTTAGAACCGCTTCTTGAACTTTTCTCGTCAAAGTCACAAATATGATTTTTAAGTGAAGGATTGGAGTTTTGAGCATCTCATAGCCCCAGCTAGTCCAGTTGGTTTCTTCCGTCATTCAGCTCTATTTTTACTGGATTTGTTTTATAGGTTGTTCTTATTTGATTCTATTCAGAGTATTATACAATTGCATAAAATTGTGTAAACTGTGGTATTACAATGTTACTTGCTTTGTGAACTAACATAATTTAGTTCTAAAGTTTTTGTGGTTGATTCTCTAAGACAAGAATGTAGACTTTTTGTTGTTTATCAGAACTTAATTAATTTTAAGTAAATGATGTAATATGTAACATCTACTTAACTGATACTAACTGTATTTTCTTTTATTAACTCTCATTAGTTGACTCGTTTGTATTAAGTTCAAGTCATGTCACAAGTATTTGAAGTATTGATCAATTTCTTGTTTAGCATGTGACCAAACAGAACAAACTATCCTCTTAACAAACATTTTACTTTCTTTGAATCTCTAGATGAGAAAGTGATGATTAGTATTTTGTTTCTTAAAAGACCCAATTTTTTTTCCTTTCAGTATCATCATTCTTGTAGAAAGAATTTTTCTGAACCTCGCATCTTAACTTGTTTGTGTTGGCCAATCAATCATTGTGTTGTTGGTGAGGGTCTCAGAAAGAAAGAGAGGCATCCGCCTTATTACAGTATGAGAGCATTAGGTGTTTTGCATAATAATTGTAGGAGAAGATTAACTGAGAGGTTTTAAACCAAAGATATTTTCATGCATTTTATCAGTTTGATAAACGATGGGGTCAAAGTACAGAGATGTTTTTTTCCCCTTTTGGTTCCTCACAAAACAAACTTAGGATTTTCATTTTCATTGGAAATTTAATTGTTTAGCCTGTTTAATTGTGTTACAAATGAAGCAGGAAATTTTAATTTGTTTGCCTTGTGAGGAAGACCGTTTGCCATCCTGTAGCTTGCATTTATTTGTTCTCTTGCTGCAGTGGTCAGACTAACATTGTCTAACCTGTTTCATTTTGTTGAGACAAACTTTTCCTTGCGTGTATTGCACACACTTTTGCATTGTGCTATTTTTTTGCATTCTCGTTGGTGATAAGTTGGCTCTTGGCTTACTTTGAAAGTTGTAAGATTTTAAGAAAGAGACTGTTCTGCTGATGGGCTTTTTAGTATTCTTTTTTATGTGAGTCAGTTGGCCTAGAGTTTTTCGTGCTAAGCAGTAGGTTAATTCCAAAGCAGCTTACAAGAATGTATTTGTTAGCAATAACTATGTAATCAGTTATATTTTGTACACTATATATTTTAGTTTTAGGAGTTGCGTGTATCAGAACGCAATTGGTACAGCACATTATGTATATCTGGTTTTTGTAAACCGTATTTTAATAACTGTACAGTTATTTTTATTGTTACTAATCTGCTGAAAGTATGCTAATCCAAATGTGTTCTTTGAGCTAGTTGTGTTGTTGGGAAGAAAAGTTCTTAAGTTGAATGGTAGTCATAATTTTTAAGATTCTGTATCTAGTTTTGAGCCCTTGCATACTCTCTTTGACACTGTACTATTTGTACAATGTTGTCCGAGATAGTAGGTTGCGGTTTATTTTACGCTCCCTTCCTACATAGTGCTAAACTAAAGCTGGTGCGGATAAAATTTTTAGTTGCACAGAGATGTATCAGCTGATTTAATGAAAGCTCAAACGCTTATGCGTGGAAGGGTCTAGTTGAATTTTGATAGTTCCACTCCAAAATAATAATACCTTATAGAAAAAATGCTTATTTTTAAAAAGTTTATTAGAAGCTCATATCAGAGCTTTCGAGGATGTGCCCGATGGTATGCTACCTATTGAAGAAGGTCAACAATCTGTTTTTGTTAAGTTGTAACATGGTTTTAAATGCCTTTCGGCGTTGTAGTGGTCTACATGCCAATTTTCAACGACTGTTTTTTTATGCAAAGGCACCTTTACTTGAATGTTGCCTGGAGGTGAGCAGGGAATGTGTTCATTGTATAGGTTTACAAATCTCATTTTGAAGCAACTGTTTTATTGTTAACACATATTCTCATGAATGAGCTGACAATATTGCACGTGTTTGTGTTTATAATGAGTTGGTCGAAAATCTGTAGCTTCCTCCTGCTTTTAGGCTCTTATTTTTACTCTTCACATTTTGACAAGCCGTTATAATTCTCTGATGTTTCTGAGTAGACCGTCATCAATTTCTGCTGTAGTCTTTAAAGTTCCACTAGGGAGACAATGTAGACTCATCAGGGTAATGACTATTGAATTTTTCAAAGTCATTTTATGTATGATTGTTTGATATTTTATTAAGGTAATTTCTATTCAACAGTCGATCTTTTCTTCCAGTGACTGCCAAAATCTGGTTACTCTTAGGGAGTTTTTACGGCTTTCATCTTGCCCTGTCATCTCGTTTTAATTTTGGAAAAAGTTAATTTTAAATTTAAGCAAACATGAAAAATAATGAATCAAATTAGTTCTTTTTTTTTCTGAATAAGCTCTCTTTCATAAGTATGAACAAAGTTGTAGTGGTTAGAACACAAACGTTGAGTTTGTCTTTCCTCTTCAAATCAAAAGAAGTTTGTAAAATGAATTAAAGAGGTGTTCAAATTGCCCTCTAGTCCTAGTCTAGTCATGTCTATAGAAGGCAGTACAACATTTCATTGAAGGAATTACCCTGTCTGCATTCTACATTGTGCTACCCACTCATTAGTCAAGTCACTGCAGTTTCCATTCAATCCTTTCCAGCATTACTTCTCTCTTCGTTTTTTTTATTTTGAAAAAAAAAATCTATGTTTTAATAATTTTTTTTATTTTGTTGTTTGTAAAAGTTACCACCTTCATTGCTGATTGTGATGTATACGTGGCAGCGTTTTTTTTTATTTGCATGAGGAGTATAATAAATTAAAATTCGTGATACACAGCGTCTTTTTTTGCCCTATCCTTGAATCCTTTACGTCACGCAGGCCAGCTAGAGTCCCGTAGACCCCGCCCTCTCTTTCTCTCTCTCTCTCTCTCTCTCTCTCTCTCTCTCTCTCTCTCTCTCTCTCTCTCTCTCTCTCTCTCTCTCTCTCCCTCTCTCTCTCTCTGTCTCACCTTCGCGCCCGTCTCCCTCCTCGGCGCGCGGAATCAACTTTGATATACATAATGCCTTCGTTTGCGCGAACCGATTTCCCTTTCCTGGTCGCCACCGCGCGGCGCGGGGGAATTCCGTTTTGGCGGTTCCTTATTCCCCCTCCACTCCCCCCCCCCCCCCCCCCGCGGCTCCGCTGATTATGCAGCAGGGGAGTCGTTGCCGGTGACTCCGAAGTCACCACCCCGTAGACCGCACCCAGAGAGCCTAGCGAAGAAGAGAAATTTTGAAAAGTTGGAACTCGGCGTTTTCACCTCTACCTCTATACACAAAAGCTCCATACACGGGCTATGGGCTGTGGGGGAAGTCCACTCAGTCTTACAATGAGAAATATCCAGAGAAACTCACGGAGAACATAAACCAAATTCTGACCGCCAGCTGTGTTATTTAAGGGTTAAAAACGTGAACGGAAAAGTACCCAAACGAAAACCAGGCAGTGACGGAAACGCGGTGGCTTTTGTGCGAGTCTAGGGAGAGTATCACCACCTCTCCCTCCCTCCACCCCTCGCGTCCCATCCTCGACTCCCCGTCCGCCGTCCCCGACGCGACCGGATAAAGCTATTCAGATGTGATGCGTGAGGAAGACACCCAAACATCGGGCTGATTGGACCGGAGCGACACTGCGGCTCTGGCTGCCAGCTCGGGCTGCCGGCGGGGCGGGCGGACGGGCAGGCAGGCAGGCAGGCACCCTCTCCGCCCCGCTTTCCGCTTTGGCCCGTGTCGAGGTAGATTGATTTCACCAAGGTCCTCCTCTCCGGGCGGGGCGGGGCGGGGCGGGGCGCGGCGCTCTGGAAGCCCATCGGTGGCCGGGCGTTGAGGGATAGTTTCGGCAGGGCGAGGCTCGCTAGGCGAGGCCAGGCAAGGCGGCCGTCTCGCCTTCCTCTCCGGTTACCCAGATGGGTAACCTCCACCTCCCGGACCGTCCAGAAGTCCCATTCAATTTTGGACGCCACAGTTCGCCGCCAGGCAGTGCAGGCACAGTGCTGCGATTAGTCCGACAGCGTCTGTTTCCAGAATACGAAAAACGGTGGGCGGCCACTGGTGACCTCTCTTGACGTCCGTCGTCGTTCCGACCTCCCTCTCTACACTCTCCAGGCTGCCTTCCGAGGGTGCCGGCCTGGCCCAACGCCTGACCCAAAGCGGGGCGGAGTGTAAAAAAAAAAAAAAAAAAGACGCGCCGTATCAGCCGAGGGAAGACGCTCCACTTTACGCCGCCAATAAATATGGTGATATTGACCACAGCCGGCCGCGCTGGCCTCGCCGCCGATCTAGCCTCGCGCAGGGCGGCGGGGCGGCCTGGCCGAGGAAACGACCGACCAACGAGTTGATTTACGCGAGGCCATATATACAGTATACCGCGCGACGTTATGTCCACGTTCCACGTAACGCCGCCTTGTCACCTGGCTGGAAAATAAATAAATAATAAATACGGAAATCGGGAGAGCACCACGCTTCCGCGTCGAAGTTTGGTTTTCTCTTTTCTCCACAGAGGACCCACGGACACACACACACACGTCGTGCCCATCGGGCAGGGGGGCTACACGCATACGCGCAATGCTGTACTGCAGTGTCCCCAGAGGCGAAGTGGAGAAGGGGGGGGGGGGAGGAAGATGGGGTATGGGGTCACCGTGACCACAGCAACAGCAGCAGTGGCACTCGCTCTGCGACCCGCCATAAATTCCCTAATGCCGGCTAATTATTAACATTATCGCCGCACCTGGGGAATATTATTAGGGCCATGCCTTCTCATTAGCACCGCCCCTCTCTCTCCCACAGTGTGGAGCCCTGCTTATAGCTCCCAAAGTCCGACCAGGGCTATGCCAGGGCCGCACCCCACTCTATCTCTATCTCTGTCTCTCTCTCTCAGCGCCTGCGGAGCGCGGGATAGGCCGCCCGGCCGGCGGACGCGCGCGCGTGCCTGCTCGCGACGTCGCCTACCCGGGCGCTTCGGGCGGGACCCGCAACCCGCCCGACCCTTGCCGACGGCCTCGCCGCCCTCGCCCTCGACGTGAGGCATGCCTGAGTACACGCGGCCCTCTCCCGCTGTCTCTCTCGCACCCCGAAGGACCCCCCAACGCGTGCGAGAGAGACAGACAGCGCGTCGGCCTGTTAATGAGCGTCTCCAAGTCTGCCAGTCGGTGCTTGCGATGACGGCGTGGCGGACTAGCAGCTCGGAGTCGACCTGTGCCCCCCACCCCTCCCCAGCAGATCTCGGCAGCCCCGGGGGAAATCAGGCCAGCGATTCTTGCATAAGTCAGCTTTGTCATTCGATATGGTTGATCATGCGAACCGCGAATGACTCCCCCCTCCCCTCATCCTCGCCACTACGAGCCGCCAGCGCGCTAGCCGCCAGCTCGCCAGCCCGGCAGGCATTACCATGTGCCACGCCTGCCACGCCTGCCACGCTCGCTTCACTCCGCCCGCCTCGCTCTTGTGACGACATGTCCACGCAGAGTGTTTCCGGCACGCGGCTTAAAAAGGCGCGCCATTAAAACAACAGACAACAACAACATGAGCAGTGTGGCGGCCGGCGTGTTGTTGTTTGCTGTGAACCCTGTGAACGCGCGGCGCTGCGCGGTGCGGCCGCGGCCAGGACGGGCCAGGCCGGGGCCGAATCGGCCAAGGCAGGCCAAGGTGGGCCCGGGCGCAGGGCGGCTAAGCCGATACGAGAGTTGGAAGTGCGAGCCATCTGTCAGTCGCCTGGGACTGGCAGTCTGGCACCGCGGGGGAGGGGAAAGGGGGGGGGGGCAGCGGCGCCCTCGGGAAGTGCCTCGCCCCGACGCCCCAACGCCCCGACGCGGAGCCCCGGCCTCAACGTCCGCAAATATTTCAACATCGGAACAGGCGTGGCGCGGCGCGGAGCATCGCGCCAGGGCCGCCCTGGCCGGCGTGCCCGCTGCGCCGCTGCGGCCCTCGCTCGGCCTGGCGTGGCCTCGCCCGGTCCGCTAAGTTGAAACCTGATGGCGAAACGTCCCCCTGATAAACGCCCGGCCATCGGCCCGGCCATCGGCCCGGCCGTCCCCAAGCCAAGCCACCCGGCGTGCGCGGTGCCGCGCGGTGCCGCGGTGCGCGAGGTCGAATCTCCAGCTTGAAGCGTCGGTCGCCTCGCATCGTCCCTCTCTCCCTGTCCCTCTCTTCCTCTCTCCCTCTCTCTCTCTCTCTCCCTTTCTCTCTCTCCCTCTCGCTCCCTCTCTCCAGGTCGGTGGGACTCCGCAATGAAACGGCTTCCGGATAAAGTTGATGCCTCTCCACCGCGGCGCGTCAAGGGCTTGCACGCCTTCCCGCCGGAAAAAGGGGACGGCGTGACGAAAGCGGGACAAAGTCGTGACCAGGGCGTGACGCGGCGTTACTAGGCGTGACTAAGGCGTGACAAGGTGTGGCAAAGGCGTGACGAGGCGTGACAATAGCGTGACAAAGGTGTGGCATGGGCGTGACGAAACGTGACATGGTGTGACAAGGCGTTACTAGGCGTGGCAAGGCGTGACTAAGGCGTGACAAGGCGTGACTAAGGCCTGACAAGGCGTGACAAGGCCTGACAAAGCGTGACAAGGCCTGACAAAGGCGTGTCAAAGGCGTGACAATGGTGTGACACGGCGAGACGAGGAGTGACAAAGGCGTGGCAAGGGCGTGGCGAGGCGTGACAAGGCGTGACAAAGGCGTGACAAGGCGCGTGTCCAGTGCCACTCGGACGCTCAGTGTCACTCGCATGTCGCGTGTCAGTGTCAGGCGGAGGCTCGGTTGCCAGGTGGGAATAAAAAGCCCCCAGGAATAATTCACGACAGGAAACTGGAAAAAGTGGGTCCAGGTAAGCAGGAACCACGTCAGCAGAAGAGGGCAGTGCTTTATGAACGGCCCCCCAGACGGTTTCGGTTACACTTCGGTCAAAGTAAAAACTCCGACGAGTCCTCTTTTTCCGGTGTTGCCCGGAACCGGATTTCGTTTCCCGCGGCACCGTTACGTCATCGAGGGCCTCTTCCCGCGACGCCGGCTCGCCGGGGCTTGCCGCAGCCTGTGTTCTCGCCGCCACCACCGCCACCGCTCCTCCAGGAGGTCTTCGTCCCCTTTTGCTTCACGTGCCTTATCTCCTTACCGAATCGCGCAACTCCGCTCGTTCTTTTATTTACCCTGTTCGGCGAGAATGAGTCGTTTCCCGCGGAGTCGGCGTCATTCCGAGCAGCCGGCCCGTCTCTCTCGCTCCCCTGCGTGCCCCTGCGCCGCGCGAGAGTGCGAGAGAGACAGAGACAGGGCGGCACCGTTTGGAATGAGCCTGCAGCCCCGCGGCGCCTCCGCAGCCTTCGCAGCCTGCGCAGCCTCCGCTGCGTCGCGTCCAAATCCGCCACATTATTTTTCCCGCCGTGTTTATCGAGGACTTCCTTTTCCTTCCCCCTCTCTGTCTCTCTCCCGCCTTTTTTGGGGCGCTGAGACAGGTGTTGAGACACTGCCGCACACGCGCGACGCGCCTACACTGCGCGCCAAAATTTCGAAACGACACTGCGCGCCAAAATTTCGAAACGGCGCGCGCGTATACACTGCGCGCCAAAATTTTGATGCGTCTTGGCCTTCCCTGCCGCGCGCGACGAAAAATGTGTGTTCCGCCAGGGTACATTACGGAGTCGGGTGTGCAAGCGAGATGGAGAGAGACGGAAACAAAAGAAAGAGGAATAGTTGTTAGGACGTCTCTCTCAAGTGGCGAGGGCCAGCACGCCCAGGCACGCCCAGAAGACTGATTCCGAGAGTCGCTTTCGTCGCAGTGTCTCTGTCGCGCTCACGGGGCGTCGCCTGTAGG